CACCTCTTAGCTGGATAGGTTAGTTCATGGATTATAATTCTGAAACGAGGACTTTAAAACAAACAAACAAACAAAAACATATGGGAAAAATACTTCCAGAACCAAGGCTGCTGAAAAACTGGGATGGCACTTATGCACTCTATTCTAGACACATAGGAAGTGTTGGAAAAACCTGTTTGAAAGCAGCCATTTTTTTTTTCAGTCCAATTTGTTTCCATGCAGAGTAAAAAATCTAGGTGTGCCAACTGAGTTTTACTCACATATTAAACATAGTTTTACATGACCTTACACACGGTTGTTAAGCACAATCAGAGTAAGATTGCACATGCAAATGCACTCATGGTTATCTACAGTTTGTGTGTACTATGTAGTTTTTTTTTTTTTTACCTATTCCTTGGTTGTGCATCTGTATCTCATACTTTGCCTCCTCTGATGTTCCCCTCGCATTTCCCTGCTTCTGCCACTCTTTTAAAGTGGATAAAAGGTCTCAGTCGATTAATTTGAAAGACTGGAGACTGGTTAGGCCTGGTGACACGTGAGCCGCCTAATGGAGCTGCCACATTCTCGTAGTGTTGGCCAGATTCATTCTCGTATATACCCCTTTATTCTTCCATCTTTAATTCTCCAGCTTCTCCAATTACCCCAGATAAGCCCTCACGTATGACAGGTATACCCTTTTGAAGCACACGAGATAAATACCGATATTTCTTAAATGAACACAAAGAGCATCATGTGTGTCATACGGGACTACATGCCAAGGAAAGGTTAATAAAATCATTAGATGATGGACTGCTGAGGGCCTGCAGCAAGACGAATACAGTTGCCGGCCCTTATAGAGTGAGACTGCCAGGTGCCTGCTGTTATCTTTGTGTAGCTGCACTATAAGACTGAATGTGCAATGTAACATGAAATGAGGGCATGGGGACTGTAACGATTGAGAGCAAATGATACTACTGTGTATGAGGACTAGTGGAAAATTCATGAATACCAGTCAAAGTTACGCCCCCTTAAACTATTATTATAAAATAAGTCATCAGACTTGAGGGTTAGGATTGTCTTATTATTAATCAAATGAAATAACTGTGCATATATTTGTGAACTATACAAATTTTATCTAATGTGGGATTTATTTTTTTGCATAGAGCGGGACGTATGAGATTGATTTTTATGAAAACTGACAGGATGAGTTGGATCATTGTTTTTAACTCTTTCTTCTTAGTGCAAGATCTACATTTTGTATCCTACAAATTTCTCTGATCCTTTCATTGCTTACTGCTTTTCCTGTTTGAGATTCGCATCAGGAACATGCAGTTGTGCTCCAGTAATGTTTGTTTTTCCATTACTGCCCAAACGCAGCCAAATCTGCGACAGCTGCCACTTTCCTGAGGGAAGTGCAAGCAATCTTCCCAGAGCGTGTCGCCGTGATATATCTCCCACTCTGTCCTTTGACTGAGTATTCTTTACAGCCTTGCCTTTCAGGGAGGCGACCAGCACCTCCACATCCTGCCAAGTGCTGCTGTTAAATCATGTCATCTCCCAGAAGCATAGGAAGAACAGCCACGTCACCCGCCAACGCACAACACCATGGATGGGGGAAACAAACTTAAAACAATAGCAAGCCATATTTTACTCTTCTTATTTCCATGAGTTGGAGTAGCCTGTGGCGTGAAAGGGGACCGTTTGAGGGTATTGATTGTTGGTTTGCTGTTAGCTCTACTCTGGCATGTGGGTATTGTAAATGCAGCATTTTTCGCAGACAGGGGCATTTGTTTCCCCTTGCTGGAGGGCAGCAAGATCCTGAGCTCTATTGCTCTCTCAGTCAAACTGTCCACCTGTTTTTAACACTTGTTGTCATTGGGGAGTGACTGCTGTTACAGAGTATATTAAAGCAGCAGAGAAATTGATCAGAAGGTTCCTGTAGCCATAACATGGCTTGCCACTTTTATTGGATGGAGACGGTGAAGAAGAGAGGGGAAAGTATTGAGGATTGAGACAGGGATGGGATAGGGTTAGGTTGGATTCAAACCTGTGTGAAAATTCTGACTTAACATTAGCAGTAACCGCAAGGCCATGGCTCTGACACTTCTGTGCTAAATTATGCTCTCAAATAAGACTTCAGGCCATCAAAGAGGGGCACCCTATGTCCATGTAATGCAGCTTAGAAATTCACGAAGAAATCTAAATAACTGCCAAAACAAATCTTTGAAAACCTGAAAGGGCACTCTGTGGCAAGGGTGCCAGATCATGCTTCTGGAAGGCCTCCTGTAACATGGTTTGTAGATACAAGAAGGAGGTGGGAACCGACACAACGTAAATGTAAAATTTAATTTCCAAATAAAAAATAAAGAAAACAAGTGCACAAAACAAAAATATCCCAGGCCACTGGTCCACTGTTGTCACTCCTCCTTACTTCCTTCTGGAGCTCCTCCATGGAACTCAAAGGTTGGAGCTGGGAACTTTTTCGCAAGACGTGAAAAACTTACCAATAACTACATATCACTGCAGTTTCCAACAGAAATGAAGACTCGATGCGGTAACACAGCGAGCACTTGTAATAGTTTTCGTACATAGTTATGATTACAGCTCCATATGTTTTACTTTCCGGACGTAACAAACTTGCTCGGTAGCTCAGCCGAGACAGACTTGGACTTAGGATGCGGAATCCTTGGGTACGAATTCCGTGAAAAACATGACTCACAATGAAAGAGCTCAAAGATGACAGATCGAAAAACAAGCTAAAACGGCATGCTTGCGATTGCGTTTTTGTCACATTTGCTTTTGTTCATACTATTGAGTAGGTTTAGGTGTAGTGCAGATGGTACGTTATATAAAAAAAGGAACACTCTTTTAGTGCCACCCAGTGGACATTTCACATTGAATAGTTCACGAAACATACATGGCGTTATGTATTTTGTGTCTTGCAAAAAAGTTCCCAGAGGTACATTTTTGTCATAAGACCAGGTTGAGCTAAACTCATGCCAGTGGACCACCAGGGCCGGATTTGATGAACTCTTGCCCTATAGCAGGATTGGGCACCCTTGCCCCGGAAGACCTCCACTCTGCAGAGTTCAGGTCCAACCCTAACTAAACACACCTAAACTTGCTAATCCTGGTCTTAAGGATTAGAAAAAACCTCCAAGCAGGTGTGGTGGATCTAAACTCTGCAGGAAATTGGCCTTCTAGAAGCATAATTGGACAGCTCTATATTACAGTTTACACAGTACTCAAAAATTTGCTTTGGTTGAAAGGACGAGACCACTGTGAGCATCTGAAATCTTTCAGCCCTTGTACTATGCATAATGTTTAATCAAATGTTGCCGTCTGGATCTTCATTCATACATGTTTGGGATGGGAATGCATTGCAGCTTTATACTGTAATGAATCAATGCTTTCATGTCTTCAACTGCCTCATCTGGCAGAAGATAAGAACTGCTTGAGATGTGTTCTTTGAGGCCATAGATAATTATATTTCATGGAATTGCTCATGATGTTCCTCAAAGGTTCAGCTGGGGGTCAGAAGACCTTATTCATCTTTCTTTCCTCCAATTGGTTGCTATGAAACGATGCTGAATCTTTTTCTCCATCTAATAACATCTTCAAACTGAAGTAGAATCCTCTCTAAAATGTAATACCTTGTTCTAATCAGTGACCCTATTTCGGCAAGATGTGGACATGTGAATATATCTATTTAAATGCTAATGCATTCATATGGATATATGTTTGTAGACGTCGTAATAGGTAATGCTAAGCAGCGCTACAGGGCCCTGCTTTAGCCAGTCTGAAACACTCCCGAGACTCGACAGTCCCTTCGCCGAACTACTTATTAAGAGTTTCTCTTTGATGGTCCTCAACCCTGGAGGTTTGACCACCTCTTCTGAACAGATCAGAAGTGTTAAGCAGCTTTTTCCTCAGCCCAGAGAGAGAGAGAGAGAGGTTTAGACTTATGGTTCATAATGCAGGAAACATTTCTAAACCAATTCTGTGTTTGTGTACAGAATTTAGTGTTCGTAGAGGGTTGAATTTAATACTACACAGTCGCCACACAGGACTATAATGGCCCGAGCAGTCAGAGGCTTAAACAACAGGAGAGTTAGTTCAGGGCCGAGGGCTCAGAGTCTGTAATGCCAGCAGAATCAGAGCGAGTGTGCTTCACTTAAGCTCCCAAGATGGTGAATTATAGGCTCTTCCTTCATCCTGTGAAGATGTGGCTTTTTGTTTATGGTTCCCCTGTAAGTATTGATGTAAACCCTCTATCTGCTCTCAAGCATTATATAGAGATGGGAAATGAAGGAGAGATTGGATGGAGAAATAATGCTTGTTTAGGTTTTGCTTGAATAAACCAGAGTCAGATGGGCTTGCAGGTTGCAATGGATGCTTACAAGCAGTGCGGACAGACATGCTATCAGTTAAAGTTCTTTGCTGCTGTAGGGTAGTATGAAGGCAGCAGATTGCCTGTTCGCTCTGTTGCCTTCGGGCATCCAACAAGCACAAACATATGCTTTTTGTTTTCTTTTGACATATGACTGTAGCATGTACACAGATGTTCAGTTTCTCTTCATCTACCTGTACACACGCCTTTAGAATTAATCAGAAATCTCTCCACTGATCAAGTGAGCAAAGGAAGGATGATAAGAAGTATCAGTTAAAGAAAAATATGTATTACCATACCTTTTTTCAGGAAAAGTGATTGTAATTACTGGAATAGTAACTGATAAAAATGAACAAAAGGTCCAAAGTAAAGATATAGTTGTTATATATCCTTTATATATAAATGCAATATATTAAATATCACCTTGGTTTGTTTTTGTTGTTTGGTTTGTTATTTTTAAATCAAAATCAAAAAATGTGAGACCTGCTTCTGAAGAAATGATACTCAAATTCTGTTTCAACCAGTATACAGAGGTTGCGTGGTGTCTCTTCTCCAAGAGGTTGTTATCCGCTACTGAAAGTTTGGTATTGTGAAATTCACATCAAAGTGAGTTTTTTTCTTCTCTCTGTAGGTAACATCAACGAGTGCACACTGAATTACTACTTCTTCCTCCTGGCTGCCATTCAGGGAGTCACACTCCTCGTCTTCCTCATTGTGTCTGTGAAGTATGACAAGCAGAAGCCCAGAGCAGGGAGCAACAGGGTGTCTCTGACCAACTCATGACCCCCATCATCCTCACCAGCCGTACGTTCACCTCAGCCCCCTGTGTTTACTGGAACTGGCCATTCTCTTGCAGTTTTAAACACGCGAGACAAAAAGACAAAAGAAAAGAAAACAAAAAAATGTCCCCGATAATTACCTACAAAATATTCATATGAAATGGTTGGAAATTAGGTTTGTCCACTCCATCAGTGAACTGGATTATGACGTGTTTGTTGTAGTGTATACTTTGGGCAACACTTGTTCAAAATGTGGGATTTTTGTTGTTTTGACTATGTCAATGAGATTTACAAATTCACTTACTCATAAAATGAATGTGGTTTTTAAATTGTTTATGATGGGTTGTACAATTGATCATTGGTTTAAATTGAATATTTATTGAACCTTTTATTTTCATAGTTTATGCTCGACAGGGTAAGACAATACTTTTGTTCAGATTTATTTAAAATTGTCCCTCTGGGCATGTTTTATGGTACACCTTTTTTTAAACATAATTTTAACAATACTTTTTAAACATTATTAAAAAGTTTTTGTTTTTTTTTTACATTTTTTCTCCTCTAATTCAGGCACCATTTTGCACTGTATTGTGTATATGGTCACTTTACTGTAAATTTGAATTGGTTCTATTTTTTATGCTGTTGATGCTAATTGGCTGATGTCTAAAAGGGCAAATATGGTTGGCTACTCATTTCAGATGGTAGCCAATAAATTGCATACAGAATTCATGCAGAATTTTCACATTATCAAACATCAGTGAAGTAGTTGATAAAAACTGCAGTGCAAAAGATTATTATTATTATTATTATTAAGAATCACATTGTCCTTAACAGTTTGATTAAATTTGTAACTTTGGTACTAAACCTGTGGCATTACAAGTGTTTTTCACTTTTAGATATTTAGATATTTTATCAGGCATTAGATTTCTATTAGCTTGTTTTTAATGATTTTGATCTTAAGTGGTAAGGCCAAGCAGTCCTTTGCTCTTTATCGTGGTTATGATATGAGTGTATCATCTGAGAAATGAGGAATTTGCACAAGGAGTGCTGATATGATGTAGCACACAGCTCAGCTGACGTCTTTACAGCAGGAATATCTCTGCAAATGCAAATGAATAGTGGTTCCTTTGGAAACACCTGCGTCTTGTTTGCAATGATTCATGACCTTTTTAGATTTGTGTAAGGCTTTTTGATGAGCAACAAACCTCAAGCTCAGATTTTCATCTGAATGAGGTTATGTAGTGAGATTACATTTTCACTAATCTCGAGTGAAAAATAACATGTTTATAATTGAGTATACAGAATCATGAATTTTACATGCAGGCTTATGATACATCCTGTAAAAATGTATACCTCAGCTTCATAATGTCATCATGTTGTAGAAGGGTGTCTTGCTTGATGTAATTTTCATGCAAATTTTGCGACGACAACACTTTTTGCTGCTGTTTTTGCCAACTAATTAACTAAGTCTGCTGTCTTTGCTTTGACCACAAGCTTAACAAAATAGTAACAACACTCCTATTATGCTTCTGTGCTGGTTCTTTTTATGTTTTCATACACAGGTAGTTCCTGTGGTTTGTTGCACTTTTTCAGCAGTTACACCTTGTGCCTTCAATGCCAGTGTTATTCCAAATGACTCTTGCAACTGATGCATCATCCTTGCACTTTTACATTAGGAAGTTCAAACGAGAGTGATCAAAATCCTTTTGAATGTAATTTGACAAACAGTATTGACATCAGAGTAGTTTGAATCTGATCAAAATGGTGAAATATTAAAAGACACCGTATAAGGAAAGGGCATCATTCATTTTAACTGGGCGTATTCAAATGCTGATTTAAAGGTTTTTAAAAATGTAAAATATTTCTGTTTTTCTCAAAGAGTAAAATTCAACATTTTCTAAAAACTACATTTTGAGTTTGTGCAGTGGAAACATACATTGTGATTTTTTTTCATGCTTTTGTTTGTGTTTAAAATGAAATGGGTTCTTTTGGTGTTGTTCAATAAAATGCATTTGACCTCTAGTGCTTGTGTCTGAAAAAGCAGTCTCAATATGAGTCTCCCATTTATTACAGCTCTCGCATATTCCTAGCTCATATGCAAACCTTGTGATCTCTCACATTCAATTGCATTTGTCTGATTTCATCAGATGAGCATGAAATCAGAACATCGCCGCTCTTCAGCCAAGCATATCTAGACTGACGAGTCGTTTCCTAAGAGTGTGACCGTCAGCGAACCGTTTGAACTCCACAGCTCTTTTTCTTCCTCTCACTCTGAGTCAGATTGTTGACACAGCCTATATATTTCTACCACCTCCACGTTTTTTACAGTGTTATGCTCTATTTAAAAAAGCAGAAGAGCTTAAGGTGTAAGCACAGTATATGAATTATGGATGGTTTATGTGAGTCTGTTAACCCGTCTAAGGTCAGTGTTCCCAAATGACTCTTGTCTTGTAAGAGAGGCTGATATGTCTCATTAAAACAGGTTTGGATTTGTCTAACATGAACCCTATTTTGATGTTTGCAAATATCTCTTCATGCTGCATTCAGAGTTGCAAATGCCATTGTTTAACTACCTTCTCATTCTAACTGCTAATAGCTTATTTACAGTATTCAGCTTTTAGCTCTGAAGAGTAAATTTAATGAACACAAGTTTCTCATTTAATGGTGATGTAATATAAAATGCAAATAAATCAGGTTTCTCTTGTATGAACTATGGGTTATCAATGTCTGTAATTAATCCTAAAGCAGTCCTTATACTTTCATTTATGGGAAATATGATTACCATATTAATAGAATATTGCAATCCAGTGGTTGGCTGCAAACTAGCTAGCCCATACTGAGTGACAGTGTAATTTCAGCTAAATCTGCAACCCTGTTACTTATTCTGGCATATTTATATTAGAGATGTTCTTATTATGGGGAGATGCCAACCTTCATGCTCTACGCTGCAGAAAGTGTAACAGTCATGTAGCCTATGCCTTGATAACCAGTCACATTATAGCCTTGACGTCATTTAATTGCTGTTAAGAGTTGTGAGACAGTTACTTTTCCTGTAAAAAAAACAAAAAAACATTTTTTTTCCAGTGTAAAATATGTTAAATTCTAAAGATGTCTGCTACACACTTGTTTCTCTGACGCATAAGGTCTATAGGCTACAGCAGTTAGTCTATAACTCCAAACAAAGTCACAGCTTTGAATTTTGGCTGGTCGAATGTCTTAGGTTATATAAAAATACTCATACATAGCCCAACAGCATTGAAACTATTCCGTTGATTTTGTCACTCCGCTTGTCTGTTGGCGTGTTTCAGACCATCAGCCTGTATTTGTGGTTGGGATTTTAAAAGTTACATCATAGGTGTAACAGTAGGTTGCGACAAGTCACTCTTTTTATGGTTGAGTAATGTAATGATTGACTCAATTGATTCGTTCATAGACTACACACTGGTTGATTTTGGAGCTTAAGTCTGTTGCTCATGCGACGGTTCGTTCAGCTGTGACTTTGTTTTGAGTTATGTTCTTGTAAGTTACTCAATATTAACTTCCTTTATTTGCATTTATTCCATTTCCATTCCAAGAGTAGTGTGGCACTCGTAATAGCATGTTAGTCTGAATGTCAGCACAGATTTGGTACACGTGCCTTGTGCCCCCAGCCAAGCTATTTAAGGAACAACAAATCTCTTGCCAAAAACTCGTGCTTGTGTGATATTGCTTAATAGAGCATTTAACCTAGGATAACCCTTGATATATTTAAATTTGTGTACTACTAGAAAATAGCAAAAAACTGTTTAAACAACTTCTTAAATTAAATAATTTAAAAACAAAATAGCACATACTTGAGTTTGACCTTCTTTATTTGACAAAAAAGTAAAGGTTAATTACTCCTACTCTCACTGATATATTGTTGAAAAGTAAAACGGAACACTTTAACCATATTTCAAAGACAACATAATTATGCAGTTACTTATAAAAATGTACTTAAATCCCACTTAAGCGAAAAAAAAAAAACTATACTATGTTCAAATTTTTGCATTAATTATAATCATATAGGACATTATTATTAATCATTTAATTTAATATCATTTAAAGTATCATTTATTATACCGTATTTTTTACAAGCATGATTGCACATTTAAACTGGTGATCATTATATTTGAATACTTGCACCACATTTAAAAAATATCTGCATTTGCATTCTACATCTTACTAAAATAAGTTTGTTTGGTTTGAATGATAAAATAATAGATAGACTGTTTAAAATAAATTACTGTCGGGAACTGTGTGAACTTAAGGAGGAATGCTTTAAACTGTGCATCCACTAAAATTCACATTGATACACATTAGACTTGCTTTTTTCATGCTAAATAAATGAAACAAACAAACAATAAATAAATAAGAAATTCTGACGAATGTTGGTTGTGACGAGAGGGGCGGGGCCGAGAGCCGTGGGAACGGAGAGAGGCCGGTGGAGAAAATGCTAATGCAGGACACCTGCGCCACTCACCGGTCTCGAGTCCCACGGAGGAGCTCCGGAAGGATAAAAGGAGGAGTGACGACAGTGTTGGACGAGAGAGGACCAGGCCTCGACTTTATTTTGTGTTTTGTGTGCGGCAGTCGTCCGCGAGGGGCTGCCGCTTTACTTTCGTTTTGTGTTTGTTTATTTTATTAAATTGTTTAAATGTCTGCCGGTTCCCGCCTCCTTCTTCCCGACCTACGAACGTTGTTACATTGGTAATCAGACATTTTGGTGACCATTGACTTGTTGACTTTCATTGTAAACACACACACACACGCATATATCTATCTTCTTATATGTTCCACAGAAGAAAGTCATTCAGGTTTGGAACGACATGAGGCTGAGTAAATGATGACAGTATGTTCATTTTTTGATGAACTATAACATAACTTTAATTGTTATATATAATTTGTGTGATGAAAATGTATGCCACTTTTTAATGAACTGGGTATAACATAGAGCTTAAAACTTTACAGGAGGTGCTAAACCTTGCGAACAGTTGATTACATATTTGATCAAAATACATCACATATCCATCAGTGGATTAAAATGCTTTATTCTGCCAGATGGCATAGTTATGGTCTCTCCCAGCAGGGACTAACTGGACCATGCTAACCAGTCAGACCTTTACCCTTTACATGTGACTGATGATCCTGAGGTTCAACATATTCGGCCTGCACCTAGCGAGAGGCAGACAGATGCACATGTCATGCCTGAGAAAAAAAGGGCAGTTTATAAATGAAGAACAGGATTTTATGTTATACGTCATGCTGAAATGAAACGCTCCCCCCTGCTGATGATGCTGGAAAATGAGAAGATGTGATTATAAAAGATGTGTTAATTAAAGCCAGAGATCCCTCAGTCACTCTCCCTCTCTGTGCCGCAGATTATTCCTCCCCAGTCAGCTCAGCTTGAAGTGCCCTTCACAGATCACAGACTGCACCGCCATTTACCATACCCCTGTGCAACACGCTCCCCATATATCCATCTCGCCGCTGATAGAGAC